CGTCTGGTTGACTTTTCCAGCTGGAACTTCAATTTTGCTCATTTTTCCCCTTTTGATAATTTGAATGATTTTCTTAGAAAATTGTGATCTGAGGCTTGAAACTTGACTGAAGTAATTCTAAGGGTCCACGAAGATCAGTGAAACTCATTTGAAGCATTAGAAATTTGAATATCTCTGTACAGATTCAAACTCTAATTTGAGATATTAGCGTTGATGAGATTGTTTGACTTAGTCGGTACTTGCACAAACTCGAGACATTGAAGATCTTTGTAGGAAATATCTTGAGAAATGAGAAGGCAAATTTTAAGGTACAACACTGTTTATTTATTAGAGCTGATACCATATTAAAAAGATCAAGACGAACATAGTGAAAATGATATTTCTCATTAACGAGAAGAGTTACAAGCAATATATATATATATATATATATATATATATATATATATATATATATATATATATATATATATATATATATATATATATATATATATATATATATATATATATATATATATATATATATATATATATATATATATATATATATATATATATATATATATATATATATATATACTACAAAGGGATTAAACATCAAAAACAACTAGACATTACTACACTATAGTGTATCTTAGGGTGCAAGGAACCAACTCTAACAAACTATAACAATTATCAAACTAATTTCTAACTGTTTTTCAAATTAGTTGGTAATGTGTAATTAAGTTGTTATCATGCTCTTCATGTTCATTACTTGCATGCTTCATATTGACAACTTAAATCTCTAATATATATATATATATATATATATATATATATATATATATATATATATATATATATATATATATATATATATATATATATATATATATATATATATATATATATATATATATATATATATATATATATATATATATATATATATATATATATATATATATATATATATATATATATATATATATATATATATATATATATATATATATATAAACATGTTTTAAAAATCAAGATGCACAAAAACTGGTTCGAAAAAAATTATAACAATTTTCTTCTTCAGATCGTTAGAATTAATTTGATAACGCTAATCAAATTTACATGCTCAATAAATATAACATTGAATTTAGTGGTAAAATTAAATAGTCATATAAACATATATAAAATTGAATGATTGACCAAATAATATTAAAGAATATTTGAATCTATTGAAAAGAGCCTTTTTGAGATCATTTCAAAATCAAGTCTATTTTTTAAAATTATATTTAAGTATTTCAAAAGTTAAACTAAACATAAATACATAAAAATTTAAAAGAAAACTTAAAAATCAGATTAAAATGATAATTTTTAAAATTAAAGGATTAAAATAAATAAACAATTAAATATGAAGACCAAAGTTTCAATTAAGTTCAAACATTTATTTTATGAATGAATTATAATAAGATAGCAAATATAATTCAGTCTAAACTTAAAAAAATAATAAAACTTTACATTGACTAAAATAAAAAATTAGATAATTTTATAAGTTCAGAAATATTTAATCTTTTATAATATATGGATCACAATGAAATGTTTATCAATAATATATCAAAATTAATTTGAACCATACTATATTCATGTGGCCTATGATGGATTTGTAATACACGTTGTGAATACTAAGCAAAACTTAAGAAGTTGCGTGTGGCTTTCTCCTTCACAAGTAAGGTGAGTGATTGGTTGGTGCTACTAATTTCTAAAATAATTTATAAGAATTAGTTTTGTTTATTATGTGGTAGGGAAACAAAATTTGATGAAAAGGACCATACTAAAGGAAAATTTGCCTTGGAATAATTGATTTGAATAATCTACTTTCATTTTCAACTGAAACATGTCATAGTCATCTTATTGGAAAAATGGAAATAGTCTATGTATCTTATTTGTGATTTAGGAGGAAGGAGTGGGGAGAGAAGAGTAATAGAAAAAAAAACATGAAAAGTTATGACATTTTAAAGAGAAAAAAAATTAAGATGACTTTGAAGAAAAATAAAATAATTAAGATGGGCAATAAATTATTTTTTTAAATTGCAATGAATTTTTTTTTTTGTAAAATAATGTATTTATGGTTGTTCAAATTGAAAATATCTTTGTTCAACTAATATTTTCTAATTAATTTTTCACTTTTAGACTCGAATTAAAATAGATTACTTTGGCGAAAATTTGGAAGAATGGTTGGACTATTTGATTCAGATAGTAATTCAAATAGCAAAAATATTAGTTAAATTATTTCTCTTTTCAACATGAGAAATTTTTATTATTTATATAATAACTAGCGTTCATGTCGTTCTCATGTCCGTTTATCTGTTTTCTTTAGCATACTCACGCGTTAAATATAAACGTATATTTTTTATTTAATTTTTTAATTTTAATTATTTGTATAATATATTTTATGATATACATTTTCATATTTGTTTATTTTCATTTTAGTACATACATCTGAAAGAAAGATATACATGCGTTAATCTAACCAAAAAAATTAGATAAATGTGCACGTCTTTAGAGTAGTGTCTGTCTATCCGCATTTTAGTGCGTGTGAAAATATAAATAGTACTTATTTTAAATTGTATTTATGTTTAAATCACACAAAAAATAACTATATACTCTTCGCTTATTCAAGAATGATCAAGGAAATAAATTACACAGATATTTGCTTTATTCTTAAGGTTGAGACTCCTCAACAAGTGAGATAATTTCAGCCCATCGCTCTTAGTAACACAATCTATAAGGTGTTGAGCAAAGTGGTGGTTAACAGGCTCAAAGCAATCATTGACCATGTTAGTTCTCCTTTCCAAACAGGCTTCATTCCTAAGAGAATATCTAGGACAACATTGTGTTGGCCAATGAAGTTACGCATAACATGCAATGAAGTTACGCATAACATGCACAGACTTAAGGGAAAGAAGTTCTTCTTTGTTATCAAGATGGACCTCTCCAAAGCCTATGACATGCTCAGTTGGGATTTTGTGCACCAAGTTCTTGGGGAAGTTGGTATTCCTAACAAGGTGAAGATCATCATCATGGAGTCCATTGCTTCAGCTAAGTTCAATGTGCTTTGGCAAGGGTAAAAGGGTGAGTATTTTAATATGAAAAAAGGGCTTAGGCAGAGAGATCCTTTTATCTCCATATCTCTTTGTTCTTTGTTTTGACAAATTCACATAAATGATCACTGATAGACATACTGAAGGGAACTTGAAATGGATGAAAATGGGAAACAAGGGGCCATTCTTAAGTCACCTTATGTTTGCAGATGACATTATCCTTTGTGGAGAGCCCACAAAAGTCTAAATGGAGGTTACTATACGGGTCTTGGAGCAGTTTTGTGAAGCTTCTGGGAAGAGAATCAGTCATGAGAAGTCAAGCATCTTCTTCTCTAGCAATACCCATGTTATCTTGAGAAGGAAGTTAGTGGCTAAAGCTAAGTTTAGGGAAACTCAAAGTCTTGGAACCTACCTTGGAATCCCTATCGCTGGTTGTTGTACCCCAATTTTTGACCTAAGATCCCATTTTTATTTTTGCATTTTTTAAGATAAGTCAAGGTCACTAAATACGGTCGGTTTTAACCTCTCACCTTCGAGCGTTGACTATGCGAAGATTGTCAAGTGTTTTGAACATTTTTAGCCTATGCATCACTAATTTCTAATCGCATACAAAGGTGTATGTTCATGTTTTCTTTTGCGTCATGTGCAGAGACAGGTTTGAATCAAGAGCATCAGGTGTCGCGCCTCGATTAAGGTTTTGAGTCTCCCAAGCCAGAAGTACGGTTGATTGTGGATTCTCGAAGACTGATTCATCAAGGCACAACCGTTGCACCCTTAATTTCGCCCCTAATATGTTTTAGTCGCACTTTCATATCATATTTTGTTATTTGGTCACGATCACTAGTAAATATCTTCATTCATCACATTTTGCATCATTAGTCATATTTAAGTTGATCGGAAAAAGTCAGTTTAAATCAAAGTTTGCATCGTCTTTCAGTTGTAAAATACCCGGCATTTTGCTTCATGCATTTTTATCTATTTATTCATTTGTTGCATTGCTCCAAGTTGTTTATATGTCGATAATAAAAATATTTTGGTTTTATAGACAGACTGTTAAAAGCGATTCGACACTATGCGGAAAAGTAGCGAGAAAATATTTCAAGTTTTCACCTTTTACCGATCGTTTTATGAATCTGCGCTTCGCGTAGATTATGACGGTATGCTCGCTTTATTTTTTGGTATAGTTCGAAGTCTCGTTTTCACCTTAAACGTCTGTTTAGTCTGATATTTTTATTATTATTTTATTTTTGATTTTTGATTTCTTGAATATTTTTTCTTTAATCTTCGTGACATGTAGATTATTTTAATATGTTCATTTTATTTTTTCGGATAAATTTTCGTCCGATTTTTATCGTTTTCGGTCATTTTGTGTCTTTATTTTTTATTCATAAAATATTCAAAAAAATCATTTTAAATTGAGTTTTTTTATATACTTTCAAGTTTCATTTTTATTTTTTGTCATTAAAGGGCTTTTAGTCGCAAAAATATCTCCCTCCTATTTTTCAATCACCACAATCTTTCCCTCCACAATCAAAAAACTCCCGCCTGCATACATCCAACACTCACACTTTCCCTCCTCTCTTCACTCAACACAGCATCCTTTATCTTTATCTCATTAACCTTTCTACAACACACTTTCCTCTCACTATCTAGCAAATCACTTCCCTCAACTCCCATCAAAAAACAACACAAAACCTACATACTCTTCCTTTACTCCACTGTCTCCTCTTTCCACACATCACAACCAACATCTCTCATAACTCAAACACAAAACAACACACAAAAAACATTTCTATACAACTCCAAAAACTCTTGTTACCAACAAACGGGCAACGAGCAACGAGCAAGTAACCTTCAATTGAAACCAAGAACTAGAAATCACCGATTTCAGATCTGAGCCAACAAGTTATTCACCAAACAAAGATGGGAAAAGAAAGTAACAGCAGCACTTTTTCAGTGTTGAATTTGCTGAATCAAACGGTTTCAGAGCCTCACTATCTCTTCCATTTCTTAACCTTCTTCTCCTATATAATCGTTCGCTGCTCCGCATCGCAAGTTTTAGCGCCTCACCTCATTCAGATTCTCATTCGTCGCGAAATACAAACGCTCTTGGTTTTCGCTGTTTTGGCTTTCATCAAGGGTATTAGAGAAGAGACATGGGAAGCCTTCATAGCTGAAGCACTTTTCATTGCCAAGATTTGTCTTTTTATCCTTACCTTTACAATGGATCGCCGCATAGCCGTTTGGTATACTCTTGTATTTTTAGTTATACATGTACTGACACAACCCCTTCATCTTTGCTTCTACTCACCAAACCGTTCTCACCATCAACACAGTCTTCCGTTTCACCTTCATCACCATCAACACAGTCTTCCGTTTCACCTTCATCACCATCGATTCACCACCGTCAGCCATCGATACACCACTATGCCGTCGATTCTCCCTCGTCATCCATCATTCTCCACCGTTTCACCAAAAATAAAGAATGAACCTCAACAACAAGCACCAGGGCAGTAGCAACACATCGCAATCCTCTCCTCACCGAAACCCGCTCCATCGCCACTGTCAATGCTATCCACCATCAATTTTCTGCTTCTGCAATTTCCGGTGACAGTCAACCATTTACCTCACCTCTACTCTCCACAAGCTAATTCCCTCTCTCATCTCTATACCCATGCCACGAATCAACAAAAGTTATCCTTTCAAACTAATTTTGGTGCATCCATACAGTCTAATGCATTTGGAAGTACTGTTGCAGGACACGCGATGCGCGGTGGGCCAACTGATCAAGCAAAGAACTTTGTATTCTCAAATGCACTCTCTAACCCCATTCCACCGCATCCTCGTTCTAACCCGACCCACAACAAAACCCAATCCACACACCGTCCGCGAGTTTACCACCGCTCCAGTTTCGTCATTCGCAAGCCCATCACAATCCCTCAATCTTCAACACATAACAACCTCCCTCCGACCGGATTCATCTGTTTCGCGACAACATTCTTCCTCCGATAACCACCTCGCAAGCACAAGCTCTCGCCGCCTTGAGATCTGCAGACAGAGGAATGGGGAGAAGAAGTCAGGTTTGGCGTTGGAGAGAACAGAAGACAGTTGGGGCCTTCAGATCATGGGGTGGTGTTGTTGTGTTGGTGTTAGAGAAAAGGAGGAAGGCACATGGGTCTGGATCTGAGAGAAAGAGAAATCCTTGCTTTCACAAAGAAGAAGAAATAAGGACATTGTTTCTCACTCTCTAATAATATATAATAAGGTATGCTTTTATTCTTATTTTAATTCAATGCCACGTGTCAGCTATCAATTGGCTAATGGAAAAATTTGAAAAAAATCTAGTAAGAAGGCATCAGCTCCGCCTGGGGTGCTACAATAATTTTTTTACTATTATTATTTTTTATGGTAAATTAGGGTTAATCATTTAGTTTGGGCCTTGAGTCATAATTCCTATCTTTTTACTAATCCACCCCATTTATTCATTTGACACCCCACGTTTTATTAGTTTAGTTTTCATAATTTTTCTTGACTTTATTATCTTAATTTCTTAGTTTATTTTTTTTTCTAGAGGGCAACCAAACGATGATGTTATAATTAATTAGATAAATTATTAGTTTAAATTTAGAATTAATTTAGTATCTTTTAGAATTGTGATTTATGTTTAAAATTAATTTAGTAATCTTAGAATTTTAATTTAGTTTAATAAAATATTTTTAGTTAATTATTTAATTATATTCTCTTCCATTTGTATTTGATAGTCTTTGTCATTTTTAAATTAAATTTCTTATTGCCTCTTTGTCATTATTTGTTTATTTAGATTTATTTTCTTATGGATCCGTGAATGCTTGTGCTTTGATTATTGTGCTTTCATTGCTTAAATTCCAAGGGAAATATTTTAATTTTGTTGACTTCACGTCATCAAATACATCTCATCCGATCATGCGAATAGCCTCATTCATTTTTTGCTTGTTTACTATTTTTCCAAACTTAAGATAATTTTCCCGAAAGATTCAATTTTTTTAACTCACACCTTTTAAGTCAAAACTTCGACACTAGGTCGTCGCATTTTCAAAATCTCGTCCATACCCATTTTTAGCCAAACGAACCATTTTTATCAAACAAACAATTTTAACCAAAAAACAGATATTTCAAAAGGTTCATGCGGAGTACCGCAGATGCATTGGGTGCTAATACCTTCCCATTGTATAACCAACCCCCGAACTCTCGATCTCTTTCAAAAACGCATTGTATTTTATTACTTTTAAGTATTATTTTACATTGCATATTTTAGGGTTTTATTTCGCTCTTTTCCCTTTTCCCTTGGAAATAATAAAGCGCGGTGGCGACTCTTGCTTTTGTGAGTCAAGTTAATTAATAGCTTGATCTCCGATTTTCACCGCTACAGAATTGGCGACTCTGCTGGGGACAGATTGACCTCTTGCTGGTCCATCCCTAAGTGGGTTAAGCCTAATTTGTTTTATCTGTTTTATCATTATTTGATTGTTTGATTATATGTATATATTCTGATTATTTGGGTGTTGATAATATTTACAAAGGACAAGTCCTATACCCGGACTAAGTTACACTTAGGAATAGGACGGGCGGTATAGTCATGTTAACTTTGAGGGAGTAATCCCGAAGAAGGAGGCATGAGATCCCCCACTCAGTGGAAGGCCCTTTTGAACGTAATATTTGTTTACCGAGTAATTGGGAAGACATTATTATTTTCGACCTGGGAGCCAGAGAAGCTGGGAACCGTAGAACCCTAACCCATCTTGGCCTTTTAGGTGTAGCGCGGAGATTATAACGGAGTAATCCGGAAATAATTGTTACGCGATGCTACGCTCGGATGAGTTTCTCTTGAGAATATTGCTGATTATTGAGTAATCAAGACGTTGGTAATATCCGAAGGAGGAATGTAGACTCCGGGAACTCTTAGAACCTTGTTCTACAGGTGTGATTAAACCGTTAGTACATACCTTGGGGGTGTTCCTTACCTTGACTCCATTCTCGAGACGTTGAACCTTCCGACTTTATTTGTGACCTTGCTTGTGGTTGTTGCATAGCCATGCATTCATGCATCCATAAAACCCTTTTCACTTGACTTTGAAGGAATTTGGAGGTCTTTCTTTGTAAACATCACAAGTTTTGTCAAGCTCAATGGATCTTGGGTGTTGATAGGGCGAAAACCCTAATCCACCAAAATGGATGATTGATCTTGATGATAACTTGATCAATGTTTGGAGCCAATTTAAAATTCATCTTCTATCTTCATACTTTGATGTTTACAACTTAATATCTTGAGTTACTTGAAAATCAAATAAAAACTTTCTTTTGCATATCATACATCATTCTACATTTTTTGTTTCACTTTCAAAGGTCATTTCCAAGTCTTAATTTTTTCCTTTGGTTTCACCTGAGTACAACACTCTCGCTAAGAGGACAATGGAGAATATCAAGCAAGAGGTTTCTGAACTCCGTAGAGAGATGACTATTTTGAAAGCTGGTATGGATCACTCAACTGTTTTGGTTGAAATTTTGGTTGCCGCCCAAGTCAATCCTTCTAAGAAGGAGGAAGCGATGATAAAAGTATTCACCGATTATCATTCAAGGATGTTGGTTTTGAAGTTCAAATCAAGCACGTGCCGAAGAGTAAACACGATTGATGGTGACTTTGATTTTTGAAGGATGTTTTCGGTAATTCAAATTCAAATGGAAAGCCTTCCTAGATTATTAACTTATTCATGCTTTTTGTAATTTTTCTTGCTTATCAAAACATTGTTTGCATGTAAGAACTTGTTTGCATCTGAATGACTATCTTAATACAATGAGTATGTTTGTCTTGAAGAAATTCATTCGTTTCACTCATATTTGTTTTAAAATTTTAAAACTATGATACCAACTTGTTGCTCATTCTCTTGCCTAGGCAGATATTGAAGGGAGGATGATGATCTAAAGAACACAAAATCTATGGTTGTTTGCTTTTGGATAAAATCTTGCTGATGATGTACAGGCATTGTTTCAAATCCCTAAACACCGGAGATATAAGGAAGATAATCCCTTTCTAACCCCTTTTGAGCCTTTGAAGCAGAAGTTTCTTTTCTATACGAAAAAACCTTGAATTTTAACCTGGGGCAGGGTAGTTTTTAGTTAATCTGACTGAGTGTTCGAAATTCATAAGGAAGATGTTTTTTGAAGAGAAACCACGAGGGCTATCTTTCATGTATAATGAAGCCAGAAGATGTGGAATCATCATGTTATCCCTCATTCATCAAGAAACGAGGCAATCACAATCTTCTCAACAAGCAAATACAAGCTAATGTCACACATTTTGTTCAAAAAGTCAAAAATCGAGAAAAAGAAAAAGCCTGCTAAGTCAAAAAAAATATGAAAACGTGTGACTTAGGCAAAATTGAGGCATCCCGCTGGACTATCAATTCAAAAGAATTAGTTCAGGCAAAAGTTAGGGAAAATAAAATTGCAAAGAAAGGACTACAAAGAAAAGTCGTCAGCAAAGAACAAATTGGTGACTACAAACACGAAGACATAAGGGGGGTTTCTCTTCGGAAAGCCTCGTCGTTTCCTTGACCGTCACAAAATCCTCTTGAAAGATGAACACTCATGTTGAGTTAACTGAACATAGGATTGGAGAACATCATGAAGGGGGTGGGCACCAAATATCTTGAGCCTTAAATCCTTTTTTTTTTCTAAAACCATGAACCAGACCACGTTACAACCTTCAAAAGTCCTAATTGAAGCAAGGTTAGTTTGAAAGCATACTTCAATGAGGTAGTGTTCCTGACTCCCATGAATGTTCTAAATAATTATGTTGGTATCATATGTTTTTCCTATACAAAAATAAATGGTGCTCTAACTCACAAAATTTGCGCGATATCTTTCAAAATCTTCAAGACTTACATAACTGTTGCATTAGAATTTTCATTCTCATTGTAAACTTTTTCTAACTGCAAAACATTTGTTTGATATCAAGGAAGCTCACATAAGCACCAGTGATGAGTTTATTCTTTTAAGGCCTGAGACTATGTCGAGTAATTGGCGAATCATTTCAAGAAAAATCATATCCAGGGGCATGTCACCTGAGGACCTTAAGCACGAACATGTTGCTTCTCCCATTTAATGCTTTTCCCAACTTGTTTACTCCTTTGGGGCAAAATTTTAAGACTTTGTTGTGCCAACTACAGTCAATCCGGGGCAATCACGTCGAGATTTGATGAATTCCTCTAAGAGTTTGAAGACACCAGAGCATGGTGAATGCCAGGTCTTTTGTAAAATCCTCTTGAGACGATTTCTCCTCATCAACCAGATAGCTTGGGGCATGTTAGAAGTGAAGCTATTCGCAAGAATTGTCGTGCATCACGCAGCTTATCAGCAGTAAACTTGGGGCATCCAAAATTAATCCCAGGGGCAATCCAGATTCGTCAAGATATGTTTTTCATACATTATCAGAGGGTGGTGTTCCCAGTATCTCCAGTTAAACATGACTTTTTCCCGCT